TTTTGGCAGAAAAAGAAAAGCTTTTAGAGTTTTATTCAGCCGGAAGTGAGGATGAAACATGTATTGAATCTTGGATTGTTGTACAAAATGTCCACCAAGATTTTGAAAATTGTTTGGTGTATAACTCTTCCTAAGATTTGCTTCCTAAAAAATGTCCACCGAGATTATTTTGTCTACTTTTCGTCTACAATAACTTCGAATTCCAACCCATCATACGATTGATTGAAACCTGGGCTATTCGTCTGAAACTAAAAAGAATTTGTGGGGTCTGTATGCTGTCCTTTATTTTAACAGCAACCACAATATTTACTTTTTTATCGTGTTTATAGTTTACTTACTTGTTAGGATCTGTAGATATGAATACGATCTCAGTTTAGAATTTCAAGTTTGATATTACATGATGTTTCCGTCCTCAAGTAAAATTTCTATTTAAGATTAATTTTTTTTTCTTAATAATACCGTTTCCTAAAACCGACAGCACTGAGGATCCACTACTATCCATCCCAAAATGCAATGCACACAATTGTTTTTCGACCAACTCAAAGACAACAGAAGATCGTTGAGATCGGCAGTTTTCAGCGATGAAAAGAGAACAGTTTGGCCTATGTTTTCATAAGCAAGACAGTTTTCCGAAAGCATTGGAAAGACCGGTTTTCTAGGAGATCTTTGGAAAACAAGTTCGGATCTCTGGAAACTGAGATAGCAATCTATCAGTTTTTTTATAGGTATATAGTCCCAAGCATCCTCTCCAAAATGAGAAGCGTATTTCCGGTACTTCCTTTTTTTGATCCTAGTGTGGGTGGTAGTCCTATTTTCTTTCAACATTTGTTTTGACGTTTCGGTCATCCTGAAGTTTATACTTTAATTATTCCTGGTTTTAGAATACATTTTTAAGGTAGTGATTAGTATTTCTATAAAAGGTGAAATTTTTGGTTATTTAGGTATGGTATATGCTAGGCATGTTACAAGCCAAGCTGCTTGTACCCAAGCCGGCTTGGGTATACAGACTGGCTTGGGAAGTAAATGTACCTATTCACTTTGAGAAAGATCTTATCAACTTTTAAAGGTCATAACGCAAGTAGAAATTGTAAACTGAGCTGATTCACTGCCGTTTGTCTCTTCCTCTTTTAGATAGATATTTATTAGCCGCATAAAAGACACTTCTTTCACAAAATCTTCATTTTTTGAACGTCAGAAGAAACACTGAAAGATTTTGAAATTGGAAATGAAATTAGAAAATTCATAACTCCAGGAAACCTTTTCACCAGGCAAAGTACTTTCTGTTGATTTCTAACGCTTTCTCGTGAAATCCCTCTATATCTACCGTACTGAACAGAAACAGCACTCGCTATATCCATAAGCCGTCAGTGATACCGAAATTATTATGCCGAGGTTGCCACTAGAACGATAATCACTTTTTTCTTTTCTCTTATATATTGAAAAATAGAACTGCAAAGAAAAGTGAACAACTTATCGTCCTACCACTCTCGACTGACATCTGCGGCATTGTAGAAAATCTCAATAGGCAGTTCGATTCAGAATATTTTTCTGTTACTATGCTGAATTGTTCAGCTCTGATCTTGCTAATTTATTTATAGAGGGCTCGTTTCTGCTTACAGCTGTTTTATTCGTTTCGTATGCTAACCAATAGGAATTCAAGGTGGCTGTCCTGCATAAAATTCTACGTACAACGCTTTTTTTTCTCGTATGGAAAATAATGTGAAGAAGTGAAACAAGGTAACGTTCGTCTGCACTCCCCTGGTCTCTTCACTTTAGGAACTTATATTTGCGAGCGATCCTCCATCAGTTTTGAATACAGGACAACGCTCACGTCTCCCTTCGGTCGGCGTTCGCCAGGGGACTATCTGAACTAGGCTCTAAATTTTTCATTGATTTGTTGCATACGGTTCGGAACCTACTGTAAATGTAGAAGGTTTTCTCGAGACCCTGCAAAGATCCCCAGAGGTCTGAAAATATTTCTGAATTCAAAACAATGCTCTCGCCACCCTTCGGTCAGCGTTCACAGCCGGTGTGACTGAGAAACGCTGTGAAATTCGCTAATCCCACGGAAAAACCGTCTTATGCAATTTAAAGGTAGAAGGTTTTCTGGACACCATCTGCAGATTCCCAGGAGGTTGGAAGTACATCAAACCGATTCGCTATGATAGATTATCTGTACACCGTAAGTTTCGATATTATAACAGTAACTGCTATCTGGTGACATCTACCACCAGCGTTGTAAAAGTTCAGCGTTCTCTCGCGTTGTAAAAAGAAATGTTTGGTCAAGATAAGCTACTGAGGAAGTGTACTGAGGAATTTTTCACTAAATTACCCTATAGCGTATTAGACTGAATTCACCAATCAAAAATGATTATCTATTTTTCGTTTTTGTGTTCATACTTTTCTGATACTTCTTGCGGGACTATTGAAAAGAAGCTCTCCTGATAATTCTCCAGCCAAATACGACAGAAACAGACTTGAGCGCCAAATATAAACGTGAGTTTGGAGCCAAATCGCTTTACTTGATTATCTACCGTCTTGCAGTGTTCTTTATGAGATTTTTTAAATATAATGTACGCGTGTACTCTACTTTTCTCTACGCAGTCTCGAGGCAGTTTCATAAAGGTTCTTGAGTGCTCGACTGAACTAACTTGACTAGTTGCAGCGCCCGATTTAGCGGCTGTTGTAGCTAGTTTTAACGAAAGCTAGTTGCAGCGGCCGATAAATTGAGCGCTGTAACTAGTTGGCCATTTCTTACCCGCTGCAGCTAGTATTGAAGCGGATTTGTCCCGCTGCAGCTAGCTCCATCCGCTAAATTTTACTCTTTTAGCTAGCTGCAGTCAATGGAGAAGCGGGCACTTCTTCAGCAAGTGCAGCTAGCTTAGTTCTTATGAAATTTCATGCTTGGGTTCTTTTTACTAATTTTATTCAGTAACAAGTATTTCAACTTCTACGTTTTATTTATATACTATCTTTACATGTTAGGTGTAAGGTTGTATGATTAATTGTGAACCGATCTCAACTGTGAATTTTTGAAAAAGATTCAATATCACTCTCTTTGCTGTTTTAATGACAAGTTCTTTTACTACTCCTCAGGCTAAAATGCCTTCTACTTCTACTGCTTATTTTGTTATAAGAAGATTAATGTATTATACGACAGAGACGAAAAAAAGAGATATAAATAACGACAACGAAAGAGTTTTTAGAGACTATCTTACTTGAAATGGACTCAGGACTCGGACTCGCGACTACCTTTTAAAAATCCAGGCTTGAACTTGATATACTTGCTACATGACTTAGCCTCGGACTCGGCACCCCTCCCCTTCCGAACTTGCCTAGCCCCGTCAAGAAAGGTATCACGACCGGTTTGGACCGTTTTCAATGATCTCATCAGGTGGCTTTATTCGAAAGACCAGAACAACTGAACGACAACCAAGAGCCACTCTGCCCTCACCGAATCAGATGTTAATAATCTTTCAGGAGAGAGACCGTAACTGCCACAAAATGAAGACAAGACGCAATAGTCTCAACACTTGGTACCATCGCACTTATTCTGCTCCTACGAAGAAACAGATTGCGTTTTTTACGTGTCTTTTGACTCATCGAAAATCTTTCTTCCGTCATACCTCTAGTAATTGCAAAACTAGATAGAGACACAGTTTTAGTCATGCCTATGGTTCGATCTTCAGAGGCGATCACTCATCGCCTCACTAGTCATGGTAGAGTACCCTGCAGTAAAACACTGTCTTTATAACTACTTACTGCATCCGGTCTAGTCTTCCTGAAGTCTTTTTTATAAAAGAGTCTTGAGCCATATCCTTTGTCTCTAATGCAAGTTGTTGTCTAGTTTTATGTTCTTTAGATGAACAAATGATTGTCCTAGGCATAAATTCAGTATATCACGAATCTTCTGCATCAATTGTCATTGATGGCCGGATAGTGGTTGCCGCAGAAGAAGAACGATTTAATCGTTACAAACATGGTAAACCCGCTAATGTCGATAATCCGCATTTACTTCCACTACAAGCCATTAAATTTTGTCTAATCGATGCCAATTTACATCCAGAAGATATCGATTTAATTGCGTTTTCCTTTGATCCTACGCTGCGTGAAAAATACTTCGAATTTGACTCGATAAGTCTTACCGGAGACTGGGGAAGCCCAGAAGGGGAAGATGTATTCCGGAAAGGGCTTGACAAGGTCAAAATTTCTTTGACTCAAGTCTTGGGAGACAAAGCGGCAGAAAAACTTGTTTGGGTTCCTCATCATTTAACTCATGCTGCGTCTGCTGTTTTTCCTTCTGGATTTCCAGAAGCAGCAGTTTTGGTTATCGATGGTATTGCTGAAAACGCAAGCA